ACTGCCAGTCGTGGACGTGCCACAGAACAGGAAGGAGGGGAAGGCAGGGGTGCGGTTTCAGTTGGTGAGCGACCTACACCTCGAGTTCCCGGGCTGCCTCGACAAGCTGCCTCACATCCCCGTCAACGCCCCCATCCTCTGCCTCCTTGGTTTGCTCCCCCCCCCAACCAGCCTCCCCCCCGCACACCACCAACTTCTCTTTCGTTCTTTCGAAGTAATATTCTGAATAAGAACTTATTTTATTTTGATTATTTAACTGACATTATTTTTTATCGATGTATTATTTGGTGCAGGGGACATCGGGTACCCGAACAAGGCGAACTACCGGGCGTACCTGCTGGAGCAGGCTGACCGGTTCGAGCACGTGCTGGTGGTGGCCGGCAACCACGAGTACTACAACCAGGAGAGCGTCCAGCATGCCGACCGCCTGATCGTACCCTTGTCTCCTCCTCTAGCTGTCGCAGAGTAACGATCACTCTCTCGCCGCACATCCTCTCACCATTCCCTGCCTGCACCACGACGCGCAACAGGACGAGATCTGCGCGGAGCGAGACAACCTGCATTACCTCAACAAGCGCAGCGTCCGCGTGGGCGACGTGCTCTTCCTCGGCTGCACCCTCTGGGTACCGTCGCTTCTTCTTCCAAGCCTTGCGGTCACTCTGACTAACCATGCATTCCTTCCTTCCTTCTTCTACCTGGCAGCCGTACATTCCGCCAGAGGCGATCGAGAAGGTGTGGATGAGGTGCAATGACTACAAGATAGTGGTGGAGGGGAAGGCGCTGGAACACGAGACGACGTCGGGCGGCCTCATGTCGCTGATGTCACTCGTCTACAAAAATGTGACCGAAGCGGTGAAGAGCGGCCCGCCACCGGCAAAGAGCGAAGACGACGCTCGAAAGAACGAAGGCGAAAATGCGGAAGCTGGGGCTGCGGAGAAGGAGTACCATCAGCTTACGCCCCACGAAACGAACCTGTGGCACGAGCAGCACGTCGACTGGCTCGTGCAGGAGATCGAACGCGTCAAGGAGGCCAACGAACGCACTGCTGGCGTCGATGGAGAGAAGGTCAAGGTGGTCGTGCTGACCCACCACGCCCCGTCCAAGTTCCGCTGCATCCACCCCGAGGCTGCCGGGATCGAAGAGATCTGCTACGACGACCTCGAATGGATGATGGAAGACCCCGTGGTGCGTGTCATATGCGTGTCGTGTCATGTGCGGTGTGTCGTGTTTGGCGTGTGGGAGCTTACTATTGGTACACGCCACACGCGGCTAACAATTGCTGTGTGCGGCAACCAGGTGGTGTGGGGCTTCGGGCACACGCACTGGTCGAGTGACAACATCATCAACTCGACGCGCGTGGTCTCCAACCAGTGCGGCTACATCACCATGGCCCCTGATGGCAAGGGCTCCAACTATTTCGACCCGGCCATGGTCGTTGACGTCCACGGTGCGTATCACATCCAGCCTGATGCGCGTATCAGTGCCTCCCGATCTAATCATCTGTGTTTGTGCCTTTTTGTGTGGGTCATGATTGCTGGGCGCAGAGTCGCTGGAATTAATCAAGTCCACGCCCACGAGTACGTCGCCTCCGATGTTGGAGTTCAGTTACGGCAGATGGTTTGCTAACCCTTACTTTCACTCTCGCCTCTCTTTCTTTCTTCTTCCTCCAGCCGAGGAACGCAACTGCCTCCTCATGTAGTTGCGTTTCTGGCCCAGCTTGTTTTTGTTGTTTTTTTACAACGGTTGGCCAATCAGGAACTACTCTTTTTGCCACGTCCCACCTCGCTCCACGTGCAAATGTTACCCCATCGTCAGCATGGAGAAGGAGCCACAAGATCAGCAGCAGCTGGTGGGTGAGGAGGAAGAGGTGGAAGAAGAACTGAATACCAACAAAGAGGCCGGGGTGCGGTTTCAATTGGTGAGCGACCTACACCTCGAGTTCCCAGGCTGCCTCGACAAGCTGCCCCACATCCCCGTCAACGCTCCCATCCTCTGCCTCCTTGGTTTTCTGCCCCCCCCCCGCCTCCCCCCCGCACACCCCAACTTCTCTTTCGTTCTTTCGAAGTAATATTCTGAATTATTTTAAAACTGGCATTTTTATCGATGTTTTTATTTGGTGCAGGGGACATTGGGTACCCGAACAAGGCGAACTACCGGGCGTACCTGCTGAGCAGGCCGACCGGTTCGAGCACGTGCTGGTTGTAGCTGGCAACCACGAGTACTACAACCAGGAGAGCGTCCAACATGCCGACCGCCTGATTGTATCATTGTCTCCTCCTCTCTCGCCGCACATCCTCTCACCACTCCCTGCCTGCACCACGACGCGCAACAGGACGAGATCTGCGCGGAGCGGGACAACCTGCATTACCTCAACAAGCGCAGCGTTCGCGTGGGTGACGTACTCTTCCTCGGCTGCACCCTCTGGGTACCGTCTCCCCATTGTCAGGCCTAGCACCAGCGGCCAATCATTGATTCATGCTTTACGCCTAATCGAGCCACGGCCACTGCATGGCGTGTGCGGTGGCTGTGGCAGCCCTACATTCCACCGGAGTCGATCAGCAAGGTGTGGACGATGTGCAACGACTACCGCAGGATTGTGGCGGAGGGGAAGGCGATCGAACCCTCGCCGTCCGCCGCTGGGAATGACGGCGGCATCGTGTCGCATATGATGTCGCTTGTCTACAAGAAAAATCGTGCCCGGCCTGAGGCCAAAGAGCGAAGACGAAGCGCAAAAGAGCGAAGGCGAGGCGGCACCGGTGAAGCATCGGCTCACGCCCCCACGAAACGAACCCTGTGGCACGAGCAGCACGTCGACTGGCTCCGTGCACGGAGATCGAAACGCGGTC